GGTAAAAAATTTAAAGTCACAGTAACTACTCCCAACATAAGAAAACGTATTTCTTACAGATTTGAACTACACATTTTATATTAGTATGCATTTCCAAAATTAATTTTAAGTGAATTTTAAGAGAGCATTATCTGGCAAAAAAAAGTTAAACATAAATCACATTTTATTTGCTTGGGCCTTTTAGAGGTTTATCTTGTAATCGTATTTATAGATTTAATGTATTTTTAAAATTGTAAATGCATATTCAGGATCACAGCCAAAATGTACAAGAAGTATGTTTAATGCTAAAATGAATGACAAGTTGATAAAAAAGCTAGAAATTTAAAGTTAAGGATGTTTTATACTTTTAAAAATAGTTGTAAATAAAAATTAAACAAAATATATTTTAGGAAGGTTGTGAAAGTTTTATTTAAATTCATCCAAATAGCTTGAGACACACAGCTGTTTTGATATGCCTACGTATTTTTAATGCATCTAGTGTAGTACTCTGCAGTAACATATTGCTTATCATTTTTTTTTAATTCTCTTTCAAAGTAATAATATTCATGTAATTTACCCTCTAGATTTTTTATTAATTTAAGGATGGGTTTCATGCACTGGCTTGTAATGATTAAAGATGTACTATGTAAATCCATATTTTGGCATGTACTGTACATATCATAAAAAATCCTTCTTAGTACACAGATTAACTTGAGTCTGTAAAAACAGCAAGTAAGCATTACAGAATAGTGGTTCAGTATGACTGCTGCAAATGAGCACAAGGTATGTGTTTCAAAAAACTTTCACTTTAAATTACTGAAAATTTTACCCAAATACATATACATTCACATTCTCCTGGGATATTTTAAGTACTTCCCTCACCAGTGTACATCAAAGCACAATTTTTTTTCTCAGAAATAAAGTCTCTTGCACATGACAATATCTTAAAATGGACCAGCTATATTATTCTGCTACTCAAAAGCTTCCCTTGACCTCAAACAGAATTTCAACTCAACTTTCAGGTGAAGATTACGTATGCTACATTTCAGCCTAAAGCAATTTTTATGGTCATGTTATAAAACTTTAAAAATACCTTTATTACTAAAAATTTGATACAGCCATAAAAGCTTTGCTAACAACAAAGGAGAGATATAAAATTCTATGTACCTATTATTAACATTTTCATTTAGAAGTAAGCACGCTTTGGCTCCCACAACAAATGTGTTTGATGCGACATATATTTATAAATATCTCATCAAGAACAAAAATTAACTATGAATGTTGCAGTATTTTAAGAACATTTCCCGTTAGCGGACTACTTGATGTACAATGAAGAACAACTGAAAATAAGAACCAAACCTTAAACTTGGCAACACGTAATTCAGAAATTAAGCAATTGAGGAAATTCTGATGTTACTCTGTGTGTGGCAGAAAGACAACTCTTTAAAAACATTTATATAATTTGAAATATCTGTAAGTACTTGCAGTCATTATGATAGCTAAAATCCATGGCAGCATTTGCCTTATTCACTGCTTTGTTTTACGGGTAAGTCTCAGTCCTGTTATTTTTTGATTTTTTGGACATCCCAAGGTTTGACAGACATGGGACATGCTTTTGTGCCATCAGTACAAGAAAATAGTTAGATTTCAAAATCAGTTAAGACTAATGCTTTTTTTTCTTTTTAAATTCCACAATAACAAAATGGATAATCTTTCTGAAAACACAATCTGTCATCAGTAAGACCCTTTAACAGGTTTAGTTGGATTTTATCACACTAGAATGAGCTTCTAGCTCTAGGCTTTAAACATACAGCCTTTTTTTTGCCAGTATTTCAATTTGCCAACAAAAGATAATACGTTATCACCTTAGCTTTGCTGAAAGGAATTTATCCAAAAGGAATTTACATCTCTCCAATTTTGCTATGCGGATATTAACGTTTTCTTTAAAAAGGATCAACTATATTTAGTGACCTGATTATACATGAAACACAGTATTAAAAACTGAAGAGCAGTAAAAAAATTAAAGTGATTTCTTAACTAAGACATTAAGAGGAAACCTAGACTACCAGTTTTAGGGGGGAGTTAATGAAAAAAACTACACTTGTTTTAAAAAAATAAAGATCCCAAACTACTGTATAAATAAACCTACACGTTATGCCAGGAACTCACTTACTAGGGAAACTATATTATCCAGCAAACATTCACAGTAAGAGAATTACAGGGCCAAGTGCTGGATTGAAAATCTAAAAACTTATACCCGATAAGAAATAAGCAATGGCCCCAAGCTTGCAATGTACATTATACCAATTTGTCAACACTGGTGCAGTTTTACAGGCTTGAATTGTATTTAAGATTGCATAGGCAATTTACACGCCATGAGGACCCAAGCTGGAACTCTAAATTTGTTGAAGGAAATCCTTAATTATATTATTCAAATGTTTGCAGTACTATATATTAACAGTACAAAAGTCTTCCACATATCAGGATTCATGATTACATTTTACAAAGTATTCTAGATAACTTGAATAATAAAGTCTATAATATACAGCAATCTAACAAGTCCATTAGAAGGATTGTTTTGTATGATTGTTATAGGAAGTCGAGAGTTGCAATTACAAAATATTCTGAATGCAACAGTTCTGATGCACCACTGTATCAATTAGCCTCCAAGTAGGTCAGACAGTATAAGTCAGCAGGAAAAGAAAACTTCAACATGCTTCCTGAACAGGTGAACAAGTGCAACTGTGCTAGAAGAAAGACTAGCCTCTAAGCAAATAAATGAATTCTTTATTTTAAATTACAGTTTAAAAGATGAATCAGATTTTTTTGAAAAAAAGATATGTCTTACATCATTCAGCAGAACTGTAAGAAATATTCTCCTTGTCCTCACTATATATGCTAACGTGGGGTAAGGCGGGCACATTCCTTTGCTTTGCTGAAACACAAGTTATATTTTATTTTTGACTTCAGTTATTTGATCTTTAAATGTTCATGTTTCAGGTTAAATAAATTTCACATTAAACAAAAGGCCTATAAAAATAATATACTTTCATAAATAGATATTCAAAATTTTAGCAAGCGTCATATTAACACCGTTGGTCTCATTGTTACTGATGCCCGAAACTTTCAGCAGAGATTAATAATTTGAGAATATTAAAGAGCCAATTTACCATAACTGGAATGGGTTTAAAAATTTAATGACGCAATACACTTCAAGTGTGGTTTTTAAATTAGTGGTTTCAAAGCCAATTACAACCATTTATCAGAAACAGTTTACCGAACCCATAAGACTATTGTAATATTGAGAAATTTTGTTCTTGCTACCTGCAACAGACCATAAGTGTCATATGAATGAACATATTTAGTTTGCTGTTATTACAACTCCTCCAAACCAAGCCGGTATAGGTTCTTTCAAGCTTAATTATCTAGGGACCGTATTAAAAAGTGTTACAAGCTACTTAGTGTATTATACCATATGAACAGATACAACATTCAACTGTACTTGCTTCCTCTTTTCATGAAGAGGTAGTTCGAAGCCATAATTAAGCACTGCATATTTATACGTGCCAAATAGCTACAACCCAAAATAATGGATGATTTTTGTCTTCAGTGGACTAAGCTATGCCTAGTAGCATATTGGACAAAATATTCATTCCAGTTATTTAGAAGTAATGTTAATTTTGCAACTATTCTATTCTTAAAACCTTGTTGCCCTTTTGAATATAGCATTCCTCCCAAATGGCATTGAGACTAGTCAGTTATAAAGATTTGAAAGCTAACCAATAGTTATATTTTTTCTCTATTCTGTAGATCTTTTATATTGGTTAACCAAGTATTAATAACCTGCCATTTAAACATTATAATCAACATAAGTGCTTGCTGTTAAGGGCACTTTGTACTGGCAATTTACATCTCTAAAACTTCACAATAAAACATTACCAGGAAGCAACTTTTAAATACTTAATTTAGTTTAAAAAAAAGACATTAACTATAAAGAACAGCAACACTTGAGATAGAACTTGTAAAGAATGTTATGCAAATGACAGTGAAACTTCCTTATAATTCAGTGCATGTTATTTTGGCGTCAGAGACTTGTATAGTTTGGACATTTATCCATAACGTATTTCAGTATAATGTTAAGGAATAAGACTCACTTATGCTACATGGAACTTGTACTAGTTCAGTTGACAATGCTAATGACGCACTTAATTTGTAAGATTTTTCTCACATTCATAGCTCTGTCTCTGATCCAGATTCTTAATTCTGTTCCACCTTTCATATTCTCATTAGGTTTTACAAAGTTAATTCCATTACTAGCAAGGTATGACAGTTTTGAAAATGAATTTCAGGACCACCGTTTCAAGAATCTGCTTCAGAAGTGTCACCAAGCATATTTTTATTAATAAAACAACAGTCTGAAAAGGTGAGGGAATTTCACGCACAAGTGATGAACAATTCTTATTTTCTTTTTGTAACCCAGAGCTGGTTGGAGTGTAGCCGGTATTTTGGAACACAGGACATTTTGACTGTCTACTAATTCTATTGCCTAGAATGCCAGTCATTATTCAAGCAGTACTTCAAATTAAGTTGTTCCCTTCCGCCCTAATTTCCTACTAGAAACTGAATACAAAAGAACAAGTCTGATGGATCAATTAAGGGTAAAATTAAGCATAGGAATAGTGTTTTATGCCTTCATAGATGTCTGTAAAGTGTTATGAAAAGTTAGAACCCAAAGAATGTAATAGATTGTTTCAGTGCAAGCGTGAAAACAAAATTTCCCCTCTACAGAATGATACGAGCTACACACACAGAAATGCTTTCAAAACACAAGCATTTAATTTTTTAAAATGTTAAATGAGAGATGTAAATATATGCATGTTAGCAACAAAGTGCTTAAAAGCATACTTAAAACATATTCCGTACACAGTCAGCAATAGAAGTCTGTACAAAAGTAATAAAGTTACACATTATAAAAAATACTCCAGAACTATAATTTAAAAGAGGGAAGAGAGACAAGGGAATTGATTTCTCAGTTCATATAATTTATTGCAGTTAGCACACAGTTTAAAAATTCACCAACACACCAATAGTACAAAACTAAACAGCATTATAAGTTATTCCCCCCTCAGGAAAATAAAACATACTATGATTGTCAAAGCTAGATGTCAGTCTAAGTTTTAGAACAAAAGAAGAATGTGAAACTAATAAAAGAAAAAAAGCAAATCACTCACAAGGACCACAAAAATCCAAGAGAAAGTCCATTTTTTTCTCAGACAATGATTGTCTTTTCTAAATTAATAAAAGAATGTATTTTTAAAACCTAGAATCTATTCAAGTAACTAAAGATAATGCTCCAAGGCCATTTTCACAGCTTTTTTTGTTTTAAAATGCCATTACAGCCAAATTAACACACATTTGACCAAATATTTCCAAAACAGTCCAGCAATACACAATGGAGTTTTCCATTCAGTATCTTAAGCACAAAAATAGGCTATGTTTACAGTAGTTAAGGCGATCAAATTTTAAACAAAAGCAGAAAAAAAAGGAAAAACAGCAAACGTTTTCCATGCTACTCCCATAGACCTTATTTGTAAGTGCAAGACAGGAAAACAAACACTGTGCAAAATGCTTTTGACCTGTGTGTTGGTCATTAAAACCACACGTCAGGCTGCAGTCTCTGCTGCTTGGATACACATAGTCCTTTACCCTCCCCCCCTTCCCCATGTCAATCAAGGCTTTCCAGTCTTCTCAGCCTGGGGCTTTTTCAGTCCATAGAATCTTTTCAAGGGGGGAAAAAAAAAAGAATGACCTATTGTTAATTTGTGCAGCAGGAATTCTAAAAATGCTCATCTGGGTAAATGTATGCACCTAAAGTTTGAGCTGGCATGGGTTTTGTGCAATTAGGTTTCTTTTGATAAATGCACACTGCACATGCAAATCTTTAAGCCTGTTTGTAAACATTAATATCTTCCTTGTTATGTAGCTAAATCATCAACTTGTAGCTTAAGTTTTATTCAACTTAAAGACAGTGGGAAAGTAAATTTAAATTATATAAAATAAAACAGTGCATTTATGTTCTTCTTAAAACACCAGTATTTTCAATGGTGCTTTTCCTAAAGAAATTAAATAATTTTAAAACTCACTCATTAAAGTTATACAATGCAAACAAAGACAAAAATATACTGAAACTCATGCATTTCTGTAGCGTTAATATTTACTTTTCAAGACTCAACTAAGAGCATCAACACAACCTGCCAAGTTCTCTGACACCCTCCCCAGCCCATGTAATCAATTACAGTATACAATAACAGTAATTCACATTTTTAAACACACAGTTCATCACTGCTGAAGCTGCGATATCCTTTTTCATCCCAAGCAAACCTTCACATAAGACAAGAGTCCCAGTGATCCCAGTGTACTTTCAGGGTTTTTTTTTTCTCCAGTGGGAACTGTCAGAAATCCAGAAGTTGCCATAATAAGTTTTAAGTCAACTGCTTGTTTAAAAATAGATAATTCAGCATTTCAGAAATTTTGCATTTGGGTCTAAAAGCATTCAGGTTTCCAACAGCTAGAAAGGACTCATGCAATTTTAGAAATGTAAAGGAACAAATAAACCTGGAAGGGATTTCTACATTCATATTGTTAAAATAATTTTTAAAAATCTAGAGCTTAAAATAATGCAGTGATTTGAGGGGGAATAAAGCCATATCAACTTTTTCTTCAATTTGAGGTTTTTTTTTTAAGTGAAGTATTTACTGGCTTCTATTCCAAGAAGGGGGAAAATACTCCGTAGTTTATTACTTTGTCATATTACTTCTACAGTTCATTTTATCAGAGTGCTAAATTAGTGAAATGTTCATGCTGCCTTAAAGTGCAAAAACAAGCTAATAGCCAAACTTTCAGTTCAAGGAAACAAGATTGCTTTTAGACTGTACCACGACTATATAGATTTATATATATATCTATATATATTATTTATATATATAAAAATTTTTTTATTTCCAAAGTTCTTGTGAGCTATCTTCTAAGGTCCAGTCTCTGACAGTAGGTAAGCTCAGTGCTTCACTTTTGACAGACAATGAGTTCACTAACTCACAGTGAAACTTCCGAATGTGTCTGTAAAGGTCTCCAGACTGTGTGAACCTGCGCTCACACCACTTACAAGCATGTGGCTTCTCCCGTGTGTGAACCACAGCATGGCGGCTCAGGTTGTGGGAGTACTGGAAGCTCTTCCCACACTGGGTGCAAGTGTAGGGCTTTTCACCTGAATGAGTCCTCTCATGACGTTTCAAGGTGTACATGCAAGAAAAAGTCTTACCACACAAGGAACAGGTTGGGACATTGACATCAGTAGCAGGCTTGCTGCGGATCCCGTCCTGCTCTCGAAAGTGCGTGCTTAAATGGATCTGCAGGATGTGGGGACTGGGAAAGACTTTGTTGCAAAGAGGACACATGAAAATTTGGCCAGCAGGGCTAAGTATGTTTGACACATAAGGGAGCAAACTGCTGTCCATGTTTCCTTCCACCTGGACTCTCTCGTTTTCTGCAGTTATCATTTCATCATCACTTGCTTTGTCCTCTCTATCTAGCTCCCTCAGGACAGAATCTTCCCTCATAGGAGCCAGATGGGCTGGCTCATACTGTACCCTGTTATTAGTGCTCACACTTTCTTTCACAGTGCTATGTTCCATGTCATAGTCATTAGTGCCAACATCACTCTCATCACAGGAAGTCTCTTTCTCCACCTTCACCTGAACCAGGCTGTTTCTAAGCATGTCCTGTGAAGAGAAATAAGAACTGTTCAGATTTTCAACTCCTGAAAGGCTGGACTTGACAGACAGGTCCAGCACACAGTCAACATCTGCTGAATCCCTCACGGAGGTGACAGACCTCTGGGACAAAGACTCTGTTGAGCTGCAGGGGCTGGCTACTGTTTTTCCAGCTGCTGTTGCGTGTATCTCTGCCTCTCCGCCAGTCTGGGGAATGCCTGCTGAGTCTGAGGGCAATCTCATCCACATGTTCCCAGGCTCAGCCGCCAAGTCCCTTTTGCTAGGCAGGATGTTCAGTTTTTCATCTTCCCCTTCATCTTCATCACTGGGTAAGTCTCCTGCCATGTGGCTGCTGCCATCGGAGAGGCTCTCCACTTTGTCCGAACAACTTGAGGCATCTTCTTCCTTTTTTGTACTGTCTGCCTCCGTGGTGGCTTTCTCTTTCAGCTTCTTTTTGCAGACTTTGACAATGTCATACATGTGGAGATAACTGGCAGCTGCTAGCACGTCTTCAATGGGCAAGTCTTTGAACTGGAGTTTCCCTTCATACATGAATTCAAGCAGGAGCGCGAAAGCTGGGGCTGTAACAATGTCGCTGTTCAGATGAACAATGTCCCTTTTGTCCAGCTGGTCCTTGTAAAAGAGGTGGAAGTACATGCTGCATGAAGCCAGTACAGCTCTGTGCGCTCGGAACTGGGCATCTCCTACCAGAACAGTGCAGTCACAAAGAAAACCCTGATGCCTCTGTTCACTCAGACACTGTAGCAAATGTCTGCTGTGGTCAGGAAACTCCATACTGTCTTCATAACCTATAAGCAACAATTAAAAAAAAATATTAAACATGAGTAGAAATATTACAAACCCACATGCATACATTATGATGTTCAAGGTACACCTAACTTCAAGTGAAAAACTGGAGATTCTAATAAAAGATTATTAAGTTTGTGCTGCACTTACAACTATCACTTGTTCTCCAAGTCTGTTCAGCTACCCTTTTTCTAAGTAACTCTCCATACACTGCTTACCTAAAGAGCAAATTTAAAATAGACTAAAAAATATACTACAGGTTTAAAAGCTGTATGATCATTGTAAATAATAAAATAAAATATTAAATATATTTTGAAAACTAACAGCAATGTCTTTATAAAGCCAAATTGTTACCGCAATAAGGCTTACAGCATGAAGACAGATGTTAATACCTTAAAATCTGCAGGTATAACATATATAACGGATCCTAAATACATAAGGAGCGAACAAATTACAGAAAGCAAAATCAAGGATTTCAGAAATGTAATAAAAGAATAGCAAACTGACTGCCACAGTTCAGTAGGTATACTTCTAAGTTTTAACTTCTGCCATGCAATACAATAGCAGAACACTTTATATTAAATATTTAGAAGCTTCTGAAGAAAGCTTTAGCCTAAAAACAAATGTATGCATTACACAAGAAAGCTTTCCCTACAGAGAGAGAGGCTTTTTCTCCACAGTTTATAGTACCAAAGTGAAAGAAAGTGTTTCAGAAGCACTCTGTGTGTATGGCTATACCCATATTTTTTAATTATTCTGTGCTACTCTTACATGGGTATTATTTTCTTACTCACCACCTTCCTTAAGGGGAGTGGGGGAGAAAAGCTCAAGAAAGTGTAGAAGTCAAAGCTCAATTAAAAAGTAAAATTTATTTAAAAAATGACAAATTTATTTAGACTTTCCAGTAACTAAAAGCAAGTTTTACCAAACCACTTAAAACACAAACTATCCATCCACGGGTTGACATACAGTGCTGAAAAATAACTGTCCTTCACAATCCAAGATGCACTAACATTTACAATCCAACCCCAAATATGTTCTGCAAAATACCATTGCTAGAATAAAGCATGAAGATTTACAATACAATCACTTTAAGTGCCCCACAGCCAACATCAATCCTAATCCTTAAGAGGGCTAAAAATAAAGATTGGAGGGCAGCTCACAAGGTAGCTGTGATCAAATTAGGAGGCTGAAAGGACAGAGAGGGACGAAGAAGGAAGCTTATAAACATCTGATCCAGCTGACTGTGGCCATATGGCAGCTGCTGCCCAGATAAAGAGATTAAGAATAGAGGAGTGCGATTACAGCTGTCTGGCCAATTCAGGCAGCTCAAATCTACAAGTTCTAAATTCGTCGCAAACACAAAAACTCCCTCAAATAATTATTGTTACACTAAAATAAAAAAATCTTAAATGCATATGCAAGAAAGAAAAGAGGAAACCAGTCAGGTTATTCTCCTGGGTACAAAAGTTTTGAACATGTAACTGATTTCTATCTTTCCGAAGCCCTACAGCTGTCTGCTCCTGTAGCTCTGGGTTGCTAAATCTTTGACTGTGAAGTTTAATGGTGGAATTCACAACAAACGTTTTAGCTTCGATGATCTTTAAATATCTCTTTGCCTGTTTCATCTGAAAACGCTTCATCTTGAAGAAGCAATCCAAAACAGAAACCAAAACTATCAGCAATCAGGTCTGCAGCTGAAAACCTTTCCATTTTGGCTCTCAGAAAGGAAGAAAGAACTTACTCGATGCTCCCAAAAATGAGAAATTGTGAGAATATCTATTAAAGTTACTTCTGATGACACGCACAAGAACAGATCCTTCCGAGCTGCAGCCTCAGCCTCTGCCTGCCGTGAGGACACTTATCCACTTAATACTCAATTCCAATATATTATCTCTAAACTTGGTTAGAAAAGTAATGTGATTTTTTTTCTGCCCCCCTCCCCTCCTCCCTGAAAATTAAATAAACACCACGCTGCAAGAGAAATACGGCTGCCTCTAATCTAGGGCTACTCCTACCTTTAGTACACATAAACCTGATTAAGTCCTTTCCTCTGAGTCTTGCTGGCTCCAGGTCTGTTAGATCGGTGGAAAAAAAGCAGACTAAGAGAGACAGATGCAAAGTGGAGATGATGTTAGAGAGGAATGAGATACCTTCTCCACACACAGATCTGCACACACTAACTCCCTGTCTGTGTGTTAGAATAAAAGGCTGAGGGATGGCAGGCTGTCAGCTGCTCTGACATCATGTTCAGATGGAAATGCTACCTCCAGCTGTGCTCCTTTTAATGCCATATGCTACTCCTCTACACTCCTGCCACCAGCTTTTTCTTAGGAGAACTTTTCTGTTCTGTTAGTATAAACAAAATACTTCAAAGTCTCTCCCTCTCGCTCTCATTCTGCCCCCCCAACAAACTTTGGGGGGGGGGGGGGTTTAAAAAAAAAAAAACCAAAAAA